CTGTGATGCCATGGCACTCTACCCAGGGGGATAGCTTGAGGCTCCGTCTCAAAAAAAAAAAACAAAACAAAAAAACCCCCAAAATAGCAGCCCAAGAAGAGAGTCCCCTCTTGCCAATAACAATATGGTTTAAGGAGGCTATAGGGCCAGGAGTTGCGGGGACCCCACACTCTCATACGAATCCCTCTGAGGTGGGGATGTAGGGGGCACCTGAGGCCTGTCTGGGCCTTAGTCACTTTAGCTGTAAACCAAATGTTCCCTTTCCTGTAGTGGGGAGGCTTCCTACTAGGTAAGGGGCTGGTTTCTTCTTTCCTTATTCCCCCAGCCCAGTAAGCTGTGCCAACACAAAAACACCCTTGGCACAGGGGGTGGGAGGGGACAGAGGTTTCAGCTTGAGTGCTACCCCAAGGGCCTACCAGCCCCCAGGCACTTCTTTTGCTTTGAGAATGTCCTGGGGATGGTAGAGCCTAAAGCCAGATGTGATCAGGCCAGCTCTGTTGCCTCTCTGGCCTACAGATAGAAGAGAAAGAGGAGCTGGACACAGACTAGGGGCCAGCTAGGAGGGAGACACCAACTTCCTAGGGCTGGTGTGTAAAAATTCTTGACTAAGTGAGTGGGTTGCATTTATAAGTTGCAAAAGGGGAGACTTGTCCTGATTCATGGAGACAGTGTGCCCAGTTATCAGGGAGCCCTGCATGGGATGGTTTGTCTCTGCCATTATAAGCAAATGTCCTCAGGCAAGCTGGCCTCTTTGCCTTGTACTGTCATCTGTAGATTATAAGTGTTAATATCTACCTCACTCAATGGAGGTAGCCAAAGTCTGCCCAGTACCTTGGGATTGATGAAGAATGGTTGTTCTTATTATCCTGGAGAGAGGGAACTTTGGGCTAGGTGCAGTGGCTCATGCAGGAAGATTTCATGGACTCAGGAGTTCCAGACCATCCTGAGCAAGATCAGGATCTCATCTCTATGAAAAATAGAAAAATTAGCTGGGCTTTGTAGTGGGTGCCTATAGTCCCAGCTACCCAGGAGGCTGAGGCAGGAGGATCACTTGAACCCAGGAGTCAGAAGTTGCTGGGAGCTGGGCCAACACCACTGTAGTCTGGCCTGGGCAACCGAGTAGGACTCTGTCTCAAAAAAAAAAGAAAGAAAGAGGGGACTCTGGCCCAAGGCTGTCTTGCTGAGGAGCTGGATGGGCTTCCCAGCCTCTGTAGGGGCAGTACTGAGTTTGTCTTAACTCCCTCCTGGCTCCATGGTGGGAAAGGGAGGGGTTGACTACTTCTTTCCTCTTTCCAAAAGAGAATCTCTCTCTTTCCATCTGTGAATGACCTCTGTGCCTTTCCAGCACTATTATCCAGGATTGCCAATGAACAGTGGGTCCTTCGTCCTCTCAAGGTCTATATAAAGTCATTAGTGTTGGCCTGGAAAGGGGCAGGGGATGTTGCTGGTTGCTGTGCTCCATTCTACCACAATCTCAGAGGAATCAAATCTCTATGCCCCCATCATGGCAGGCTCCAGGAATCTAAATCCTGGGCTTTGCTGTGTGCCAAGTTCTTATACTCCTCTCAAGAGACAGTCATTGCTGTCCCCCATTTTTATAGATGCAAAAACTAAAGTGCAGAAAGGTTGAGCCACTCACCTGAAGTCACACAGCTAGTGTGAGGCAGGTCTGTGAGTTCTTCCTCATTCTCTTAGACTTCCCCCTGCAGCAGGGTCTGAGATCTACTCTGAGCTGCATGTTGTAAGTAATGAGCTGCTGGGTCAAGCAGTGCCCTCTCCCCCTGCCCACCACACAGGCGAGACATCAGAGGAATCAAATCCCTATGCCCCAGCCATGGCAGGCCCCCAGGAACTGAGGGCACTTCACTGTCATGGGTGCCCAGTACAATTGGATTGGAAGATACATCTTTTCCCTGGTTGGGCCTGGCACCCAGGGCCCTCCCCACCCCAGGAAGGTGCCTGGGCTAAGCCATGTTTGTCCTCACCCATCCTGCACTCTGGCCAGGACTCTGGGCCAGACTGCCTCCCCCTCCCTTTAACTCTCAGCCCAGACCTACCCCGACCCACGTGCCTCAAGCACCTAACAGCCCAGTCTGCCCCACTCTGCACGTCCAGCTGTGACTGGCTCCAGGAAGGACTTGAGTTATCTAGGGGTCAGCAGTCAAAGCTGGAGGATAGGGGTGTGAGGCCTTGGACAGGCCTTGGGGGACAGCGTGTCCCTGCCAGCGAGCTAGTCACGGGAATTTCCAGAGCTATGAGGCTATCACAGCAGGAAAACACCTGACACCTCGGACCTGGGCTAGACCCACACCCCCACCCTTTTGGAGTCACCCCGGGAGCGCTGAGGGTCCTCCTCCCCCCGCACAGCTGCTGTAAGGTATTTATAGTCTGAGCGTGAGGGGGCAAGGACACGCGCTTTATTTCGAAAGTGATAATTCCAGTTCTGGGTGGGTGAAGCCAGGAGAACCTAGAGTCCCTTTCTCCACTCCAGTCCAATCTATAGAGCCTCAGGTCTCACTTAGAAATGGCCCCTTCCTGAGTTCCAGATGTGCGAGCCAAAGGGGTGGGGCTATTCAGATTCCTCTTCCCCAGTTTTCAGCCCTCCGGCTGCACATAACCGCTAACCCTCCACGTCCCCCTGCCCACCCTCAGACTAGGCGAGCGTTTAAAACTCCAGTCCCTTTCTAAGGGAGAAAGCGGTGTGGTGCTGACCTCTACTGGTCTAGGTTGGTAATGCATGGTAGAAGGTCACGCCTGAATCGAGGGTCCCGGGCAGGACTAGGGCGGTGCTTTTGTTCTCATCTCCCCTTGTTCCCCCCGCCCCCTACTCGTCGCTTCTTTGTACCTCTCTGCTCCTTGGCTGGAGCGCAAGGATTGAGACTGACAACCTAGAGGTCTGAGGTGACTTCCCTGAAGTCATTGGTCACACTCCTGCCACCGTTAGCATGAAGCCAGGCATGTGGTTAATGTCTCTTTCATCTGTTCGTCGTATATTTGCGGCGCACCTGTCAGAAGAGGACATGAGCCGTCATCTGAAGAAGCTCAGAGGCCAATCCTGGGGCCTGACGGTGTACACACTGCGAGGCAGTGCTGGACCGCGAAAGCACAAAGGAGACTGAACCCATCCGGGACAGGGATGAGGGTCAGGCAAGTCCCTGGAGGAGGCGAGAATCTGAAACACAAGCAGAAGTTATCTGGGTGAAGAAGCAAAGAACCGCATTCCAGGCAAGGGGGAAACCCAGGCAGAAGCCTAGCGGCAGGGGGCTAGCGCAGCGCACCCTGGCTGCAGTACGAGGCCCCGCCCCTCAGGGTTCCGTGGCTGTGATTGGCCAATAGGACTGTGCCTCTTGGCTGGCTAACTGTCATGATTGGTTCTCTGACATCCCTAGGAAACAGGCTGAACTTGCAGGTGGGTGCCCCGCCCCTTGGGAGCGGACCTGGGATCTCCGCGGGTCCCACTAGGGCTTCTCCAGGCTGCGGTACTTCTTGCGCTGCACCGACACCGGGTCCTTGAACAGCACCGGGTCCAGACGCAGGCGAGAGGACACCAGGGGCATGTGGCCAAAAGCTGCTGCCATCTGGTTGATGCAGTCCGGGGCTGGGGGCTGGTGTTTTGGCCCAGACTTTGGGACCCCAGGAGCCTAACGGGGGAGGAGAAATGCATTGATGAGCTTCTCTGTCCTTCCAAACCCGAACCCCACTCTCACCCCTCTGCAGCAAGAAGGATTTGGATTAGACAGTGAGAAGGAATCCTTCCTCCTTTCCTCCCCCCGCTAGTGTCGACCTGTCCCCCTCACCGGTGGAGCAGTCTTCTGCTGTTGCTTGCCGTAGGGCAACTTGATAGGGGGCAGCTTGGTGACTGCCGCTACTAGGAAGTTCATCAGTATGTCCACACAGGCGGGTGCCTCATCTGTCAGCGTCCTCAGAGCCTTGGGCAGGGAATAGGTGAAGAGAGTGTGGTAATACCTGAGCAAGGGGGAACAACAGGGAGAGGCTGCAGCTGA